AGTCCAGATCTCAGCCACTGAATACCTTGAGCAGAGAGAGAGGGAGCTCGATGATAGTGGCACTACGTTGATTCGCGGCTTCGGGCCGATGCTTTACACTAACTATCCTAGGCCTTCAGTCCCTTCTCTTTGCACAGATGGCACGAGCTGACTGGATGTGCTTGGATAGGCAAAGAGGTACATCTCTCCAGCGGTGATCGACATGCAGGCATTAACTGAGCCTACCGAGTATCCCTACCTCAGACGAGGAGTCTTTTCAGTGGACGGACTGCCAGCTTTGTGGGAGGAGTTTTGCTCCATGGTTAACTACCGTGTCATGTGCCTCGGATGGTCATGCTCAGAGCTCGCTGACTACAGGTGGCATTTCGTCACGGAGCCTCAGTCTCAGAATGTACGTGGGCATGGACCTCGGCACCAGAGAAGATCAGTGAAAATAGATTGAGAAAGGCTGACTAGAGGGATGAGTGATGACTCTTGAGAGGTGTTGACCATGCTCATTTATGTGTATTTTCTGAGATTACTATGAGTTCTCATTCTTCCCCCACTCAATTGTCCCTGTCTTTGTTGGAGTCAGTCAGTTTTATTTTCTGCATTATTCTTGCTTGATGATTGCCTTTTGTGGATATTTTGTCACAGTTCTCAAAATCAGATTGACATAATTGATGCATGCATAGCACCCCATAATTTTATGATTATTATTTGTATAATTCTTTGCTGTTCCGAATCAAAATAAAAGATTCCTAAGACCGGGGACCAGCGAAGACCGCAATTGAAGGGTCTCGCTCGAAGCGGGACGCACACAACAGGAAGGGAATTGCATTATTTAATCAATTTATTTATTGCAATCACATACAAAATCCTGCTGACAGCCTGTTGGCTTTCTGGTCGCCCGAAGTGGCCCGACTGGAAAAAGTGCGACACCGTCCACCATAGCCAACCACCTTGCACCTTCTTCCTCCTCCATCACCTACGCCCGTCCACCATAGCCAACCACCTTGCGTCTTCTATCTCCGCCTTCACCTACACCCGTCCACCATAGCCAACCACCTTGCACCTTCTTCATCCACCTTCACCTACACCCATCCACCATAGCCGGTCACCTTCCACCTCCGTCCTCCTCCTTCACCCACACCCGTCCACCATAGCCAAACACCTTGCACCTTCTTCCTCCGCCTTCACCCACATCCGTCCACCATAGCCAACCACCTTGCACCTTCCTTCTCCACCTTCACCTACACCCTTCCACCATAGCCAACCACCTTGCACCTTCTTCCTCCACCTTCACCTACACCCACCCACCATAGCCAACCACCTTGCACCTTCTTCCTGCACCTTCACCTACACCCGTCCACCATAGCCAACCACCTTGCACCTTCTTCCTCCACCTCCGCCTACACCCATCCACCATAGCCAACCACCTTGCACCTTCTTCTTCTACCTTCGCCTATGCCCATCCACCATAGCCAAACACCTTGCACCTTCTTCCTCCACCATCTCCTTCCACCGCCCAAGGGTCGTGGCAAATGAGGGCTCCGAGGGGCACGAGGGAACTTAGGTAGGCCGGTAGGATGGGGGAAGGGGTAAGGTTGATTAGGATGGAAAACTTTACTCTCTCTCTCTCTCTCTCAYTCTCTCTCTCTCTCTCTCTCTCTCTCTCTCTCTCTCTCTCTCTCTCCCCCTCCCTTTCTCTCTCTCTCCCTCTTTCTTTCTAGACCCCTGGCCTTCACCCATTTTTTCCCTCTTCCTCTCTCTTCTTGGCACGTGACTAACTTTTCCCCTCACTTGTTACATTGCCAGGGAACGAACGGTAAACAAACTCGGTCCTCACTTGGTGGACAGAGAGGGCAAGGGGAGGGATGACAGTCCCTTGTGCCACCAAGAAGGAAAGGAACGGGGTCTTTGCAGAAACTTGGAAAGGAGGGATCTTTTGAAAGAATTGAAAGAGTAAAGGTTGGAGACCAGGTCAGTTTGACTCAACCATTCTCCCGACTGCATGACTAAGGAGAAGGCATGGCTTGCTTGAAGGGAGGGAAAGAGAACCAAAAGGGTCATTGGAAGAGAAAGGAACTTGGCTTGCGGGAGGGGCGATGTGTTGACCCCAAGGGGGATTGTACTTGGTCTTTGCTTGTGTGGTCTTGCGCAGGTGAGTAGCTTAGGATGGATTGAGCGGGACTGGACCCGCGGAACGCAGACAGGCATGGGAAAACGGACAAGGGGAGGACATGGGCGTAGCATAAACTACGGATGCGGGTGAGACTTGGTGATCGTATGCTTGGGAAAAGAAACATGGCTTGTGTGATGGATGCGTATCTTGACTCTCCGTGTGGAATATGAAAGCCTGAAAAGACTAAGGGTGACAATGGATATGCGAGTAGGATAATTGTCAAGCAAAAAATTATAGGGGCTAGGGGCATGGATGGTGCGGCCGCACCCCGATGATGCCATAGAGATTTTCATGCTTAGTGAAAAGGTGTGTGGCCCAATGGATGACGTTTGGCCTACACACGAAAGAAGACGAATTCTCAACGAATTCCCTGGACTGCTTGTGTATTGAAAGGAGCAATTGCGTGGCCAGACTTAAGTGAATCGAAAAAACGCCACGAGTGACCAAAGAGCTACCATCTAACGCGAGAGCGGAGTTACATCCCCCAATGTAAAGCCCTCTCGCAAAAGGCACATCCCCATCCATCTCACAGCACTAGGTGGGGGTGCCCCTGGGACGAACGACCCGCGCCATAAGCGTGATCGTGGGCGGGTCGAGCCAAATGGGACCCGCAGTGGGGTCGACTCAGGCTCGAAAGTCCTTCAGGGTACGGCTGCTACAACGGTACAACCTTCCTTCTAGGAATTATGGTACATGTTTCATCTAACTATGGTACAACTTTCCCCTACCTCCCAGAAATTCTATACTCGTGTCCTCCTCCTCATCCTTTTCTTTTGCCTTTCTCTTTTTCATTTCCTCTCTTCTCTCTCGCGTTTGGTTCTCAACGTTTTCCTCGAAGCGCTCCTCTCGCTTATCCTGCACTTTCCTAATCGGTCGGTATCGTCGTCATCTTCCCTTGGTCGTTTCTTTCTTCTAGGGGTCTTTGGCAGGGGAGGTTTCCGAACCCTATACCCCCTCTTAGGCGGCCGAAAAAAAAACCCTTGCTTCGAAGTCTCTCCCCTCTCGTGGGTGACGGTCAGCTCCGCGTGGACCGCTTCTTTGCCTTTTCTTCTTGGGTCCTTCCTAAGGGTCCCTCTCCATCGAAAAAGTTTGAGGCGAGCCCCCGTGATTGGATCCCGTAGCCTAGTCCCATCTATTTCGGCGAGCAGGTAAACTCCCCCGTCCAACCTCTTTAGGACTCGGTACGGCCCCATCCATCGGTTAGCCAGTTTCTTGCTCCAAGTCTTTTCTAGCGACGAGTCGTACATTAAGACGAGATCACTAGTTCCTATCGGCTTTTGTCGGACCCTCAAATTCTTGTCTCACCTTTCTTTTCCTTTCACCCTCCCCTTCTCGATGTTCTTTCCTGCCTCGGTAATCCCGGCGTCAAGATTTTCAGTTATTTGTTGAATCCTCGCTTCCAACAATTCGCTCATTGTCATGTTGATTTTCCACGAGACACTTGTCCAAGTGTCGACGTGGAAATCGATGGGCAGGGGGTAATGCCTACCGAACCAAAGGGTGTAAGGGGGATACCCCGTACTTGATTTGACCGTGATGTTGTCAGCCCAGACTGCATAGCGCAAGTACTTTGGCCATTGCTCTGCACGTCCTTTGCACTACTTGGCTAAGACATCTACAAGCGTCTGGTGACCTCTTTCGACCGGAGCGTTGTTTTGGGGGTGATAGGCGGTGGTATAGGCTGCCCTAATTCCTGCCTTTTCTAATATCACCTTGACCTTTTGGTTGGAGAACTCGGACCCCCTATCCATGACCATCTTCCCGACACACCCGTACCTGGCGATTTATTCAAGGAGAAAGTCACTCACCTCCTCGGCCGTTTTTTTTTTAATGGCCTTAGCTTCCACGAATCCAGTGAGGTCATCGTGGGCGTTAATGATGTACCGAAGCCCGCCGACTCCCTTGGGCATGGTTACCAAGTCTATATGGACCTTTTCGCCCGGCACGGTGGGGAGCGAAGGAACCAGGGCCTCCTTATAGCGAACCGTCGCCCGCTTTTGGCAAACCTCGCACGTCGAACAATATTTTTCAACCTCTCCATATTGTCCGTCCCACCAATAGAGCCTACGGACCTTATCAAAGGTCCCTTTTACCCCTCGGTGACCGCCGACGACCCCATCGTGTAACTCTTCTGTGACCGCTTTCCTCTCTTCCGGGTCGCAAAGGACCCTCATGGGAATTGCGAACTTGGTGGGCCTTTTAAAGAGGTGACCTCCTCGTAAGCAATACCCAAGTGCTCCCCGGCCCGGGGAAGAGAGAGAGAGAGAGAGAGAGAGAGAGAGAGAGAGAGAGAGAGAGAGAGAGAGCCAGCCTTGCGCGTGGGAGGTGGTGCGCTGT